CGATGTCAGTCATTGCTAAGCCCCGCCCATCCTTTTATATACCTCTGTGTCTCATATATGTATATATATACAGTATACAGTGTATAGGTTATATTTCTCCATCCTCTGTATATATATATCCCTCTCTCTGTATACAGCGATGTCTCCTCTATATACTCCCCTGTATATACCCCCCTCTCTGTATAACCCCCCCTGTATATACCCCCCCTGTAAATACCCCCCTCTCTCTGTATACCCCCCTCTCCCTGTATATACCCCCCTCTCTCTGTATACCCCCCTGTATATACCCCCCTCTCTCTGTAAATCCCCCCTCCTGTAAATACCCCCCCTCTCTATATACCCCCCCCGTATATACCCCCCTCTCTCTGTATACCCTCTCTCTGTATACCCCCCTCTCTCTGTATACCCCCCCTCTGTATACCCCCCTCTCTCTGTATACCCCCCCTCTCTCTGTATACCCCCCCTCTCTGTATACCCCCCTCTCTCTGTATACCCCCCCTCTGTATACCCCCCCTGTGTATACCCCCTCTCTCTGTATACCCCCCCGTATATACCCCCTCTCTCTCTGTATACCCCCCTCTCTCTGTATACCCCCCTCTGTATACCCCCCTCTCTCTCTGTATACCCCCCCGTATATACCCCCCCCTCTCTGTATACCCTCTCTCTGTATACCCCCCTCTCTCTGTATACCCCCCCCCCTCTCTCTGTATACCCCCCCTCTCTGTATACCCCCCTCTCTCTGTATACCCCCCCCCCTCTCTCTGTATACCCCCCTCTCTCTGTATACCCCCCTCTCTCTGTATACCCCCCTCTGTATACCCCCCCTCTCTCTGTATACCCCCCCGTATATACCCCCCTCTCTCTGTATACCCTCTCTCTGTATACCCCCCTCTCTCTGTATACCCCCCCCCCCTCTCTCTGTATACCCCCCCTCTCTGTATACCCTCTCTCTGTATACCCCCCCTGTATATACCCCTCTCTGTATACCCCCCCCCCCCCCCCCCCCCCCCCGTAATGCAGGGACATATTCGTCCTCTCTGGGTCTCTCAGGTCCGTCCTGCGGTTACTATTAATACTCTCGGTGTATGGAGAGGAGAGCAGGGATTCCCTCTGACGTCACTCCTTAGTAACCGATAAACACAGCGAAGACAAGTCCTTATATGGCGATGTACGTCACAGGAACTCCGCTGGGCGGGGCCGCCCGTCCGGATTTTTGGGCCCCCAGATTTCGGCTCGGGGGGCAGCGGGGGGACTGAGATTTGGGGGGATGGGAGGAGGCAGCGGGACGGTTCTAGGGTCCGATTTTGGGGTCGCTCGGGGCCCCTGAACCCGAGATCTCAGAGGGGGGGAGGGCTGTGACGTCAGGAGGGAGGTCTCCGGTATAAATAGGGAGAGTGATGTGAGCTTCATTCATAAATCTCAGAGCGAGCCGGAGGAGACCCGCCGTACTACCGGGGACACCTACCGTACTACCGGGGACACCTACCGTACTACCGGGGACACCTACCGGAGGAGACCTACCGTACTACCGGGGACACCTACCGTACTACCGGGGACACGTACCGGAAGAGACCTACCATACTATCTGGGAGAGCTACCGGGGACACCTACCGTACTACCGGGGACACGTACCGGAGGAGAACGTACCACCGGGGACTTACCTGTGAAAATAGCTACTGGAGAGACCCCGTGTGAGCGGACAGAGGACTGTTCTCTGCAGGAGACCTCAATCTGCACCGAGAGATCTCCAATTACCCGGGACCCCCGGTGACCCCTTCTCCTTCCGGGACCCCCGGTGACCCTATCACTCTCCGGGACCCCTTCTTCTTCCGGGACCCCTTCTTCTTCCGGGACCCCCGGTGACCCCCTCACTTTCCGGGACCCCCGACTCCATGCGGGAAGTGGACTGTCACCCGGAACTCCTCGCCCGATTCTCTGCTGGACTCCGGTCCCGGTACTGATTCCGGTTCTGGCCTCCCTTCCTGGATTAGACTTTCCGGGACTTCTGGTCCTGATTCTGGACTTTACCTGGTTTGGACTCCGGTTCTGGTCCCGGCTCCGGTTGCGGACTCTGGTTCTGGTCCCGGCTCCGGTTGCGGACTCTGGTTCTGGTCCCGGCTCCGGTTGTGGACTCTGGTTCTGGTCCCGGCGGTGGGTTTGGACTCTGGAAGACTCTCCCGGTTCTGGTCCCGGCTCCGGTTGCGGACTCTGGTTCTGGTCCCGGCTCCGGTTGCGGACTCTGGTTCTGGTCCCGGCTCCGGTTGCGGACTCTGGTTCTGGTCCCGGCTCCGGTTGTGGACTCTGGTTCTGGTCCCGGCTCCGGTTGCGGACTCTGGTTCTGGTCCCGGCGGTGGGTTTGGACTCTGTTAGACTCTCCCGGTTCTGGTCCCGGTTGTGGCCCCCCTGGTGGACATGTTCCAGGGATACGACTCGTCCAGCTCCTCCCCCTCCGCAGAGTCTCAGTACCTCTCCTCGGTGGATTCTTTCGGGAGCCCCCCCGCAGCAGCTGCACCACAGGTGAGTGTGACGTCAGAGACAGCAGTGATGTCATTGGGGGCTGGTGGGCTGAAGAGTGAGTGGGGGGGACACAGGATCCCACTGCTACTCAATGACTCTCTCTGACGTCATCACAACTTTCTTCTACAACCACACAATGCATGGAGAGCTGTATATGGTATGGGGGGGTCAGTATATGGTATAGGGGGGTCAGTATATGGTATAGGGGGGTCAGTATATGGTATAGGGGGGTCAGTATACGCTGTGTACGGTATAGGGGGGTCAGTGTACGGTATAGGGGGGTCAGTATACGGTATAGGGGGGTCAGTATACGGTATAGGGGGGTCAGTATACGGTATAGGGGGGTCAGTATATGGTATAGGGGGGTCAGTATACGCTGTGTACGGTATAGGGGGGTCAGTATATGGTATAGGGGGGTCAGTGTACGGTATAGGGGGGTCAGTGTACGGTATAGGGGGGTCAGTGTACGGTATAGGGGGGTCAGTATACGGTATGGGGGGGGGGGGTCAGTATACGCGGTGTACGGTATAGGGGGGGTCAGTATATGGTATAGGGGGGTCAGTATACGCTGTGTACGGTATAGGGGGGTCAGTATATGGTATAGGGGGGTCAGTATACGCTGTGTATGGTATAGGGGGGTCAGTATATGGTATAGGGGGGGTCAGTATATGGTATAGGGGGGTCAGTATATGGTATAGGGGGGTCAGTATACGCTGTGTATGGTATAGGGGGGTCAGTATATGGTATAGGGGGGTCAGTATACGCTGTGTATGGTATGGGGGGGTCAGTATAAGGTATATAGGGGGGTCAGTATATGGTATAGGGGGGTCAGTATACGCAGTGTACGGTTTAGGGGGATCATTATATTTTATAGGGGGGTCAGTATATGGTATAGGGGGACATTATCAATGTGCTCTGTGTATAGTATTGTAGTCAGTATGGTGTATCTTGTGTGCTCTGTATATAGTATACGCTGTGTCTGGGGTCAGTATGGGGTATACAGGGGTCAGTGTGCTCTGTATATAGTAGAGGGTCTGGGTATACACTGTGTATGAGGTCTATAGAGTACAGTGCAGTATACGGGTCGGTGTAGTCTGGGCGCGGAGTTATAGTATAGGGGTCAGTGTGCATAGTAAATGGTGTATATAGAGATAGAGTGGCTGTCCCCCCGCGGGGAGAGTGGCTGTCCCCCCGCGGGGAGAGTGGCTGTCCCCCCCCCCGCGTGGCCCCCACGGGGAGAGTGGCTGTATCCCGTCCCCCCCCGCGTGGCCCCCGCGGGGAGAGAGTGGCTGTCCCCCCGCGGGGAGAGTGGCTGACCCCCGCGGGGAGAGTGGCTGTCCCCCCCCCCCACGTGGCCCCCACGGGGAGAGTGGCTGTGTCCCGTCCCCCCGCGGGGAGAGTGGCTGTCCCACCGCGTGGCCCCCCGCGGGGAGAGTGGCTGTCCCCCCGCGGGGAGAGTGGCTGTCCCCCCGCGGGGAGAGTGGCTGTCCCCCCCCCGCGGGGAGAGTGGGCTGTCCCCCCCGCGGGGAGAGTGGCTGTCCCCCCCGCGTGGCCCCCACGGGGAGAGTGGCTGTGTCCCCCCCCCCCACGGGGAGAGTGGCAGTCCCTCCGCGTGGCCCCCCCGCGGGGAGAGTGGCTGACCCCGCGGGGAGAGTGGCTGTCCCCCCCCCCCCCCCCCCCACGGGGAGAGTGGCTGTCCCCCCCCCCCCACAGGGAGAGTGGCTGTCCCCCCCACGGGGAGAGTGGCTGTCCCCCCCGCGTGGCCCCCACGGGGAGAGTGGCTGTCCCCCCCGCGTGGCCCCCACGGGGAGAGTGGCTGTCCCTCCATGTGTTGTATGGAAAGGGCCCCTTGCTGTGTGCTCCTCAGCCACACTCTACGTCTCCCAGACACGACTCGCTGTCCCTATTTCTGGTGACTTTGTCCTTCTTCTTGGCAGGAGTGCGTGGCCCTGTGTGATGCTCCATCCTCCTTTGTTCCCACTGTTACTGCCATCACCAGTAGTCAAGACCTGCAGTGGCTGGTCACCCCGGCCCTCATCTCCTCTATGGCTCAGTCCCAACCTACGCCAGGACCATCGCTGGACCCGTATGACCTACCAGGGCCCAGCTACGCCTCTCCGTCTGGATCATCTTATGGTCCATCTGTTTCCACACCAGGACCAGAGGGCTCCCGGCCCACCCGTACACGGAAAAGACCCAGAGAAGAGGCGGTGAGTGTCCGTGGACTGGGTGAGGACCCTTCTATGTGCCACAACAGACATGTCACCTCTAATCCTTCTTCCAATACACAGCTGACACCTGAGGAGGAAGAAAAGAGACGAGTCCGCCGAGAGAGGAACAAACTAGCCGCTGCCAAATGCCGGAACCGAAGACGAGAACTGACTGACCGACTACAAAGCGTAAGTGACAACAATGGTCTTCTCCTGACAGATGACACCAAAGAGATCAGGGGGCCCCAAAGTTTCTAAACAAATGGCCAGTTTATGGTCCTTCAAACTCTGAGGGGGCTGGATTGTGGCCAATGGGAGTAGAGAATGATCTGACCTCATTGAGCGTAAACGGTGCCCCACCATTGGTATTAAGAGGAAGAGTGGCCCGTCATTGGTGTCAGTGGGAGGAAGAGTGGCCCGTCATTGGTGTCAGTGGGAGGAAGAGTGCCTCATTGTTTGTATCGGGAAGGAATAGTGCCCCATCATTGGTATCAGTGGGAGGAATAGTGTCCCATCATTGGTGTCAGTGGGAGGAATAGTGCCCCATCATTGGTATCAGTGGGAGGAATAGTGCCCCATCATTGGTGTCAGTGGGAGGAATAGTGCCCCATCATTGGTATCAGTGGGAGGAATAGTGTCCCATCATTGGTGTCAGTGGGGGGGGAATAGTGCCCCATCATTGGTATCAGTGGGAGGAATAGTGCCCCATCATTGGTGTCAGTGGGGGGAATAGTGCCCCATCATTGGTGTCAGTGGGAGGAATAGTGCCCCATCATTGGTGTCAGTGGGGGGAATAGTGCCCCATCATTGGTGTCAGTGGGGGGAATAGTGCCCCATCATTGGTGTCAGTGGGGGGAATAGTGCCCCATCATTGGTGTCAGTGGGGGGAATAGTGCCCCATCATTGGTGTCAGTGGGAGGAATAGTGCCCCATCATTGGTGTCAGTGGGAGGAATAGTGCCCCATCATTGGTGTCAGTGGGAGGAATAGTGCCCCATCATTGGTGTCAGTGGGAGGAATAGTGCCCCATCATTGGTGTCAGTGGGAGGAATAGTGCCCCATGATTGGTGGCAATGGGAAGAATGGCACCCATGATTGGTGGCAATGGGAAGAATGGCACCCATGATTGGTGGCAATGGGAAGAATAGTGTCCTGTTGATATGAGTAAAAGGCATTATACCCCATTGTTGGTGTCAGTGGGAGAAAGAGAGTGACTTGTGTCAGTGGGAAGAGTAGTGCTCCAAGGGCTGCATTAAAACAAGCAAAGGGCCACATCCGGCCCCTGGGCTGCAATTTGGAGACCACAGTCATAGACTAAGGATGACCAAGGAGAAAAGGCCTGCAGACCATCTGTAGGTGTCTGTGGTGGTCTTGTGTGCTCCTAGTCCTCCTCCAGGGGCCCAGAGTATGAATGTTCCATTGTTCTGAACCCCTAGGATCATATGTTTCTTGGCATCAGTATGAGTGAAGGGGTCTGGTTTGCCCCGAGGCCCCAGCGTCCCGTGAAGACCCTTCCATTAGATGTCATATTAAATAAAGCCCCATATGTGGTAGAAGATGGAGAGGAGAAAGTGTCCCGACCTTCCATGACACTGCCAAATGTATCACTGATCAATAATTGTGCTGGAGAGACCCTCGCTGAATACACACGTCTTCTTTTGATTGGACAGTTTGTTAGACGGGGCCCTATCAGATGTTCCAACATTCATGTGTGTATGAGGTGTAACATCTCCAACAACATGATACGTGTGATTGTAGTGTATTGGGCCGGGGTGATGGGACACCCTATAGTAATGTATGTTGGTGGTCCCCCTTTCAGGAGACGGACCTTCTAGAAGAAGAGAAGTCCACACTGGAGGCAGAGATTGATGAGCTCCGACGACAGAAGGAACAGTTGGAGTTTGCACTCCTCTCACATCGATCGACATGCAAACTCCCCTACGAGGACCCTGAGCTGCCCCCCAGTGACCCAGCTGTCTCCTTTCCCCACGGAGGACTTCTGCCCTCGTATCCCCCCCAACCGGAGGTATCATTCCCTATCTGTTTGCCCCCACTACCGGACCCAGACTGTGCCAGTGGCCCTGGAGCTTACACCTCTTCATTTGTGTTCACCTCCCCAGAGGGAGGAGCCTGTGGAAGCCGGTACCAGCGCAGCAGCGGAAGTGAGCGCTCATCCTCCGACTCGCTCAGCTCCCCCTCACTCCTGGCGCTCTGAGACATAAATTCCAACACCTCCTCATGCACTTTCCTCATTCAGCCAACCTTTCAAATCCATCCAGATTGCAAACCACTGCCGCCCATCTTGCCAGTTCCTCACCCTTCTCTTCAATCTTCCATTTACTCTCCTTTCCACCATCAAACTCCATCATGGTCTGCTATGCCTTCTGTGGCTTGCTTCCTTCCCTCTACCAACTATGGAGATCTCTCCAGTCCTCTTCATCTCTCTACCAACTATGGAGATCTCTCCAGTCCTCTTCATCTCTCTACCATCTATCGCAATCGATCCATTCTTCTCCTTTTCATCTACCAACTATGAAGATCTCTCAAGTCCTGTCCTCTCTAACAATGGAGATTCATCCAGTCCTCTCCTTCCCTCTACCATCTATTGCCATCACTCCATTCTTCTCTCCAGTCCTCTCCTTCTCTCTACCAACTATGGAGATCTCTCCAGTCCTCTTCATCTCTCTACCATCTATTGCGATCGATCCATTCTTCTCCCTTTCCTCTGCCAACTATGAAGATCTCTCAAGTCCTGTCCTCTCTACTAACAATGGAGATCTCTCCAGTCCTCTCCTTCCCTCTACCATCTATTGCCATCACTCCATTCTTCTCTCCAGTCCTCTCCTTCTCTCTACCAACTATGGAGATCTCTCCAGTCCTCTTCATCTCTCTACCATCTATCGCGATTGCTCCATTCTTCTCCCTTTCCTCTACAACTATGGAGATCTCTCCAGTCCTCTTCATCTCTCTACCATCTATCGCGATTGCTCCATTCTTCTCCCTTTCCTCTACCAACTATGGAGATCTCTCCAGTCCTCTTCATCTCTCTACCATCTATCGCGATTGCTCCATTCTTCTCCCTTTCCTCTACCAACTATGGAGATCTCTCCAGTCCTCTTCATCTCTCTACCATCTATCGCAATCGATCCATTCTTCTCCTTTTCATCTACCAACTATGAAGATCTCTCAAGTCCTGTCCTCTCTAACAATGGAGATTCATCCAGTCCACTCCTTCCCTCTACCATCTATTGCCATCACTCCATTCTTCTCTCCAGTCCTCTCCTTCTCTCTACCAACTATGGAGATCTCTCCAGTCCTCTCCTTCCCTCTACCATCTATTGCCATCACTCCATTCTTCTCTCCAGTCCTCTCCTTCTCTCTACCATCTATCGCGATTGCTCCATTCTTCTCCCTTTCCTCTACCAACTATGGAGATCTCTCTACCATCTATCTGTTGCCACCACTCTATTCTTCTCCCTTCTCTTTACCAACTATGGAGATCTCTCTACCATCTATCTGTTGCCACCACTCTATTCTTCTCCCTTCTCTTTACCAACTATGGAGATCTCTCCCGTCCTTTTCCTTCTCTCTACCATCTATCACCATCACTCCCTTCTTTGTCAACTACAGAGGCCTCTTCTTCAATTTGCTTCATCTTCTCTACCAACCATGGCGATCACTCTATTCTTCCTTCTCCCTACCAACTATGGAGAGCTCTCCTCCCATCTCTCACTATCACTCCAGTTCTTTCCTTTCTATCTACCAGTAATGGAGATCCCTGGAGATATCTCATCTAGCATTGAAGCCCATTGTTCCCATGCCTACCTCCTGCTTCTTTTGCCACCTAATAATGTGAACTTCTCTCTCACTTTCTTCTGTCTCTACATACGAAATCCTGACCCAGCGCACATCCTGCATTGTCCTCCTCATCTCTCCATTCCTAGTCTTCATCCCTTCATGTCCTACTCTCGTTCTTCTGCTCTTCTCCATCATGTGCTTTCTCCTCCATTGTGACCTTTCTTCTGTAATTTCTCATACTACTCCATATCTCCTCTTGTCTTCTCTTCCTACCATCCCCCATTGTCACCCCCTTCTGCCATCTTCCTGTTATCTGTGAACATTCATGACCCCCTCACGATGGAAGTGTGTGGTGGGCTGAGCGCTGTCAAGAAGTTTCCTCCTTCCTACATTCCACTTCAAGAACCAGCATGAAATGAACTGCAGCTGGTGGGACGACCAGGACCAAGTGGACTACTACCTCCTCAGCCGTCCAGAGGGCACGACCAATGGTGTGAGATGGGATGTGATGGGGAATGGGATCAATATGTATCAGGCAAGAGAGAGGGAGGATATACGCCGAGCAGGCAACAGCTCCTGCGAGTCCACTCCTGTGGAGTGGCCCTTAGAGACTCTCTACTGTCTGTAAAATGGCCCCTTCTGGCTGTTCAATAGTCCCTAGAAGGACCAGTGCAGGCTGCACTCTGCTAGCTTTGAAACGGCCCCTAGAGAGACAAAAGGGCACTACACTGTCTATTGGTTTTTCAGTGGCCCCTGCAGGTCACAGGGTGCACTGCATTCTCCTGGCAGCAGGGTAGACCATGAAATGTGATTTGCTTCTAATCAGTATTCTCATCAAGAACGGGTCCAAGGAGAAGTCTGGGCTGCCGTTGTGTTCTGAAAATGCCAATTGCCTGGCTGGTATTCCAGCCCTTTGGTTTTAGTTCTGTGGGGTCTGTTTATCAATGTTTTCCCTCCAGATTCACACAAATTCTGGGTGTGAACATCGATAGACTGACCCCGGGACCCAATAAGGGCTCCGTGGGTCCTGAAGGTCAGAAGTCACTAATTGTGGGCCAATGAGACCAAAACCAGCCGCTTCGTTTTCAGAAGAGCTCAGCCATGGCTGCCCGGTCCTCTTCACCTTTCACTGTGACCACCTGAGCAGCCATGGTGGCCCCGCCTCCGGCGTCGTGCCGTAGATGTGTTGTATTGTGTGTACAGAGTCGGTCTGTAGATCCTGGACCTCGTATTGTACGTGTGGAACCGCGTGGAGGCTCGGCGTGGCTGCCGGGACTGGACCTTCCCACCACTTATCAGGTGATTGATTAGGAGCCAACGAGGTCTCAGCACTTCTCTCCCTCTGATCAGATGATTGATTAGGAGCCAATGAGGTTCCCTTTAATCAGTTTTATTGATTAGGAGCCAATGAGGTTCCAGCACATATCTCCCTTTAATCAGTTTTATTGATTAGGAGCCAATGAGGTTCCAGCACATATCTCCCTTTAATCAGTTTTATTGATTAGGAGCCAATGAGGTTCCAGCACATATCTCCCTTTAATCAGTTTTATTGATTAGGAGCCAATGAGGTTCCAGCACCTATTACCCTTTCATCAGATTTATTAAGAGCAAATGCGGTCTCAGTACATGACCCCTCTGATCAGATGATTGATTAGGAGCCAATGAGGTCTCAGCACTTCTCTCCCTCTGAGTAGTATTGATTAAAAGCCAATGAGGTCTAAGCACATCTCTCTTTTAATCAGTTTTATTGATTAGGAGTCAATAAGGGCCCAGCACCTATTACCCTTTCATCAGAATATTGATTAAGAGCAAATGATGTCTCAGCATTTATCACCCTATGATCAGTTTTATTGATTAGGAGCCAATGAGATCTCAGCACTTATCTCCCTCTGATCATATTATTGATTAGAAGCCAATGAGGCCTCAGCATCGATTCCCCTTATGATCAGACTGATGGGCAAAGCTGAGAACCCATTATTGATTGGAAGCCAAAGAGGTCTCAGCACTTATCTCCTTCAATCAAATTATTGATTAGGAGCCAATGGGATCTCTGCACATATCTGCCTCCTATCAGGTTGCTGGCCACGGCTGAGATGAGATTACTGATTAGGAGCCAATGGGATCTCTGCACACATCTCCCTCCTATCAGATTGCTGGCCACGGCTGACATGAGATTACTGATTAGGAGCCAATGGGATCTCTGCACACATCTCCCTCCTATCAGATTGCTGGTCAAGGCTGAGATGAGATTACTGATTAGGAGCCAATGGGATCTCTGCACACATCTCCCTCCTATCAGATTGCTGGCCACGGCTGACATGAGATTACTGATTAGGAGCCAATGGGATCTCTGCACACATCTCCCTCCTATCAGATTGCTGGCCACGGCTGACATGAGATTACTGATTAGGAGCCAATGGGATCTCTGCACACATCTCCCTCCTATCAGATTGCTTGCCACGGCTGACATGAGATTACTGATTAGGAGCCAATGGGATCTCTGCACACATCTCCCTCCTATCAGATTGCTGGCCACGGCTGAGATGAGATTACTGATTAGGAGCCAATGGGATCTCTGCACACATCTCCCTCCTATCAGATTGCTGGCCACGGCTGGGATAGGAGTATTATCGGATATAATGACACAAGGACCGCCTCGGGTCCCGGCACACCAGTACTGACCCTGACATTCGATGCGAAGGTGTCGGCCAGAGATCGAGGTGCAATGACCCTGTGGTGTCTGTGTGTGGCGCTGTATACAGCACATACACATTGTATACGCACACACACGGTTTTATAAAGAGCAATAGCCATATTTTTCTATATATTTTATTATATATAAGGCGTATTTCTAGATGTATATTATATATATAAAGATATATAGTGAATGTAATGTACATACGTACAGACAGAACACGCGTGTATAGATCTATTTCAGAATATATTTTTGGATGTTATAAAAGTTTTATATATATATATAGAAATATGTATATACACAGAGAGGTTCTCATATACAGAGGTATGTATTGGTCGGTGACACGTCACTGGCTACAATGTATACAACTTAGCACTGGAACTGGAAAATGAAACATTGTTGCTGCCTAAAGAACATGCCATCCATTGGCAGCCAATCATCTTTCAGCGCTCTGATAGAAGGTGATTGGCTCCTAAACTGCCTATTAGAGGAGGAATGTGACAATACAGAAAAGGAATGTTATCAACCTGAGCTCCGCCCAGACAAGCAGCTCCTCGGGGGCGGAGACTAGCACCATGTCTGTCAGGGTGGCAATCTAAGGCCCGGGATGAAAAAGATGAACTCCACTCAGATCAATTCCCCCCCAAAGAAAAGTCTTTCATGTCCGAGGGCAGCCGGCGTTCGAGGACATTAAACATCATTTCCCATCAGGAACACGTGGGTGCGTTCACGGGTGACGTGGGTGCGTTCACGGGTGACGTGGGTGCGTTCACGGGTGACGTGGGCTGGTTCTCCTTGGGGCCCCGGCTGCACCCAGTTAGAGGCTTTTGGTGCTAATACAGGCGAGGGGGAAAAAAGTCTATTTGGGAGGAAATATTGACTGGAGTTCTTGTTTAATCCCCAGCAGCGGCGGTGGCGGCGGTGGTGGTGGTGGTGGTGGTGGCGGCGGCGGTGGTGGCGGCGGCGGCGGCGGTGGCGGAGCGGTTTTCTCTGTCTGTACGTGTGAGGATGATTGCACCTTTATCAGCAGAGTGGACGAGGATACAGATCTATAGAGAGGAGGGGGGGAGGGGACCACGCTGGGCGCACACTTTTTCCTGTTACTGTATTAGTGATATTGTGTAAGTAGAAGAAATGATTATATAAATATATATTTTTGGACTTCATTATAGTATATAGGTCTTTATGGAACTGTGATAAATAAAAAAAAAACTTCAATAAAGCTCCGCCCATGCTTGTGTCATTCCTCCGGTAACAGCCAATGGCGAGTCGGCGCTTTGTATTCTGCCATCACCGACATGTGTCATTCTGCCAGTACAAGACCACACGCGAGGGGGTCACTCTCCCCGGTACAAGACCACACGCGAGGGGTCACTCTCCCCGATACAAGACCACACGCGCGAGGGGGTCACTCTCCCCGGTACAAGACCACACGCGAGGGGTCACTCTCCCCGGTACAAGACCACACGCGAGGGGTCACTCTCCCCGGTACAAGACCACACGCGAGGGGTCACTCTCCCCGGTACAAGACCACACGCGGGGTCACTCTCCCCGGTACAAGACCGCACGCGTGGGGTCACCCCCCCGGTACAAGACCACACACGAGGGGGTCACTCTCCCCGGTACAAGACCACACGCGAGGGGTCACTCTCCCCGGTACAAGACCACACGCGAGGGGTCACTCTCCCCGGTACAAGACCACACGCGGGGTCACTCTCCCCGGTACAAGACCGCACGCGTGGGGTCACCCCCCCCGGGACAAGACCACACGCGAGGGGTCACCCCCCCCGGTACAAGACCACACGCGAGGGGTCACCCCCCCCGGTACAAGACCACACGCGAGGGGTCACCCCCCCAGTACAAGACCGCACGCGTGGGGTCACTCTCCCCCGGTGCAAGACCGCACGCGTGGGGTCACTCTCCCCCGGTGCAAGACCGCATGCGTGGGGTCACTCTCCCCCCGGTACAAGACCGCACGCGCGGTCATCCCCCCCGGTACAAGACCGCACGCGCGGTCACCCCCCTGGTACAAGACCGCACGCGTGGGATCACACCCCCCCGGTACAAGACCGCACGCGTGGGGTCACACCCCCCCCGGTACAAGACCGCACGCGGGGTCACCCCCCCGGTACAAGAGCGCACGCGGGGTCACTCCCCCCCGGTACAAGAGCGCACGCGGGGTCACTCCCCCTGGTACAAGGCCGCACACGCGGGGTCACTCTCCCCAGTACAAGACCGCACGCAGGGTCACCCCCCCCCCCAGTACAAGACCGCACGCGGGGTCACCCTCCCAGTATACAGTAAGACCACACTTGGAGTCACTCTCCCCCGCACGTGGGGTCAACCCCCCCCGTACAAGACCACATGTGGGGTCACTCTCCCAGTACACGACTACAGTACATGTTGGGGGAGGGGGTTTCATTGCAGTGTTACATGAAGCGTTCTCTGAAGTGGATCGCTCTGATTGGATTTCAGGATGAAGCCCCCTCTGAGCGGTCGTGGGTTGAGGGGGGATACTTATTCATGTGGTCATTGTATGAGACTCAGCAATCCAGCTGGAAGAATCCCTGATCCCTACAGATGGAAGGCCACGCCCTCTCCATGGGATTGTATTGGTGATTCTCCATCGCCTCCTCCTGGACACTTCTGGAATTACTGACATCAGCCACATAAATGTTAACCCCAAACATGCCACATTTATTCTGTTCTCTTCATCACTCAGAATTCGTCCAGGTCTCCAGGATCGATCCAAGGATCAATGTCCATCATTTCCTGATCACCACATAGGGATGGGGGACTGAGAACACGCTGAGCCCCTTTCACAAACCCGGAGCCACTCTGGCCGGCCACAAACCCTCAATGAGGATCCCGAACCCCAAATCTTCCTCCAGTCCAGGTCCTTGTAGTGGGGGTCAGCCTGAAGGTTTGAACTCTGGGGTCCCTTTGTGATGACCCCCAATTCCCTGTTTCTGGAATCTTCATCTCAGAACGAAGAATCTCATGAATTTGAAGTCACATGTATAGATTTATACCACTTCAGTACAGAAGAATTCCATTGGAGGACAGAATGGACCGCACCCATGAAACCCAACCCCCAGAAAAGCTGCAACATCCCCCGATAGTCGTCTCTCACCCCGGAAATAGGAAGAACTTCGAAGCGAACTCTAAACTTCATGTCACTTTCTTGGTGCTGCAAAGCGTCTCCGAAGCCTCCATAGAAGTCGATGACGACGTTCGCTGATGCCACCTGCGGCATTTGAGGGGCTTTTATTCAGCTTTAGCATAGAGGTATTGCAGGAATGAGATATCCCAGGATGCACTGGAAGACCAACAAGTGAACCGGGAAGAGGTCATCAGCTGTCACTTCTGGTTCATGTGTCTATTTTCTGGGGGTGTCTGGTTCAGACATCACATCCGGGGTGCAGGGTGGGGCAGCAGGAAGGTGAGTGGGGTCCTGACTGGAGCAGAGCAACAGCAGATGGCACATGTGGTGTGCAACATGGCAATACTATAGGGGAAAGTGAGTGGGGACTAGAGAGAGGACCGAGCGGCAGAGGATCAGCAGAGTTGGGGGATCGGAGCAGGAGAAACTTGCAATGTCACATGTAGTGCACAGCGTGGGAGCAATATTTTAAGAGGTCAGTAGGGACCAGAGAGAGAGGAGGATCTACAAACCAGAGGTTATTACTGAGCGGAGGATCAGCAGAGCTGGGGGTTACTACTGAATGGGGGATCAGCAGAGCTGGGGGTTACTACTGAATGGGATCAGCAGAGCTGGGGGCTAATTCTTAGTGGGGGATCAGCAGAGCTGGGGGTTAATAATGAGTGGGGGATCAGCATAGCTGGGGGTTAATAATGAGTGGGGGATCAGCAGAGCTGGGGGTTAATAATGAGTGGGGGATCAGCAGAGCTGGGGTTAATGAGTGGGTGATCAGCAGAGCTTGGGGTTAATTCTGAGTGGGGGTCAGCAGAGCTGGGGGTCAATTCTGAGTGGGGGATCAGCAGAGCTGGGGGTTAATAATGAGTGTGGGATCAGCAGAGCTGGGGGTTAATAATGAGTGGGGGATCAGCAGAGCTGGGGGTTAATAATGAGTGGGGGATCAGCAGAGCTGAGGGTATTACTGAGTGGGCGATCAGCAGAGCTAGGGGTTAATTCTGAGTGGGGGATCAGCAGAGCTGGGGGTTAATTCTGAGTGGGGGGTCAACAGAGCTTGGGGTTAATTCTGAGTGGGGGTCAGCAGAGCTGGGGGTCAATTCTGAGTGGGGGATCAGCAGAGCTGGGGGTTAATAATGAGTGGGGGATGAGCAGAGCTGGGGGTTACTACTGAGTGGGGGATCAACAGAGCTGGGGGTTACTACTGAGTGGGTGATCAGCAGAGCTTGGGGTTAATTTTGAGTGGGGGATCAGCAGAGCTGGGGGTTACTACTGAGTGGGGGATCAGTAGAGCTTGGGGTTAATTTTGAGTGGGGGATCAGCAGAGCTGGGGGTTACTACTGAGTGGGGGATCAGCAAAGCTGGGGGGTTACTACTGAGTGGGGGATCAGCAGAGCAGGGGGTTACTACTGAGTGGGGGATCAGCAGAGCTGGTGGTTATTTCTGAGTGGGGGATCAGCAGAGCTGTAGGTTACTACAGAGTGGGTGATCAGCAGAGCTGGAGGTTAATTTTGAGTGGGGGACCTTAATGTGCTTCTTCTTGAGCCGCTCCTTTGTTGCCTTGGCCGCGTGTTTTGGGTCATTGTCATGCTGGAACACCCATCCACCACCCATTTTCAATGCCCTGGCTGAGGGAAGAAGGTTCTCACCCCAGACTTGAGGGTACATTGAGATTCCTTTTCGAAGGGGAACCTTTGGCTTGGTTCCGTCGGTCAGGGTGAGCGGCGTGGTTGTGGGTATGTTGTCCTCTCTTCCAGGTCAATGGCGCTCGTACAACGTATGACAAATCCCAGATGAAATTCCCACCATGGTCTCACGTGACGAACGATGAGTAGGACAGAATGAAGAGCTCCCTCCAAGGTGCATTGCCCGCCATCCAATCAGCAGCCAGCGATGGCTTACAATACATACCAGTAACGTAGGAGCAGAAAGCAGAAGAGAGGTTCAAGGTAATGACACCGGATGGCCCATAGGGGGGAGAGTCACATCTGAGCAGAGTGCCTCCTAGTCCGTGAGTATGGGGTCACCATGGCTTCCTTCTCTCCGGTGACTACAAGGAGAGAGGAGCCACTTCCACGTGAGACTAGTAAAGGAAAGGAGGGACATGGTTCAAGTCCGTGTCACCATTTTTATTTCTAACAAAACCAAAAATATCACCAATTAGAAATAATGCCGTCATTCTAATTTATTACAGGGGTGCAGTTACCTAACCTGCCACTAGTCGGCCCTGTCCCAGTATGGTAGTTGGGTGTTAGGTCCTCTTCTAGGGAAAACCTTCTTCTAGCAATGTCATGGGTGGAGCTACTGCCTAAATCAGTGCCAGGATGGGAGGGGATTGGGAGTTGGGGCAAGGGACCCAAACACCCCAGAGCTGTCTGGATGTAGTCAGCTACTAGAAGGGCCCTTAACAGGGCTGAAGCCCCGGGTGAGGTAGTTCAGTACCCAGTAGGACCAGCCGTTGTCTCTCTTACAATCTGACGCAGACTGGGAGCGGGATGCAGAAGGCCTTTGAAGCCAGGCTGAGTGTCCTCTGAGGTGAGTACTAGTACCCCTGGAAATGAGGGTGTCATCTGGGGGTGTGCCGGGCCGGGCAGAGCTATAGAACGGGACATTGAGAGAGAGGCAGATGGGTATACAACGAGGGCACCTTGTTTGGTGATAGAAGGTGAATGCTGTGGGCTGAAGGAAATGGTTCCAAAGAGAGGAGAGATGAAAAGGTGCGAGAAGGTATAACTCTGCTCAGGTGAGTACCAGCCCAGGCTGGGTTGGGAAAGGGGTCATTCTTGGTCACGGGTTCGTGGGATTTTTGGGTTTGTGGTATAAATTTGGGGAAGGCTGAGGCCTGGGGAGCGAAAAGAGTGGTGGATGGAGCTGCTGATGGAGCAGATGAACTCTATCAAGACTCCCAGGAAGTCGCCAGCCAATGGACCATGTCTTCGATAATGGACTCACCACCATACATGGACCCTAACTGCAAGGTATGCCTGGGCCGCTGTATAGATAGTTACGGACATTAAGGAACTCTTCGTAATTTATCCTGTGTCATGTGAGCACTGAAGAAGAGTGAAGACTATGAACCTTCTCCTGAGTCTGGTCTGAAGTCACTTCTAAAGGGGTGAATAATGGGGGTGGCACCTGTAACAGCACTAAGGGGTATGAAGTTAACGGCACCACAGGACAAGTAGGCTGCACCATGATATAGAATTAAGTTGTTGCTAATGACAACCAAGTCAAGTCACAGAGTCACAGGGAACCAGTGGAGGTGTGGTACCTGGGGAAGGTGGGGTGTCCTCTGGTAGCGAGGGTGCATTAGTTAGGCACTAGTTATCTTCTCCTCTAGGAATCATGGGGAACACTAGGAATCCTCTCCACTAGGAATCATGGAGGACACTAGGAATCTTCTCCACTAGGAATCATGGGGGACACTAGGAATCTTCTCCACTAGGAATCATGGGGGACACTAGGAATCCATTCCACTAGGAATCATGGAGGACACTAGGAATCCTCTCCACTAGGAATCATGGGGGACACTAGGAATCTTCTCCACTAGGAATCACGTGGGACACTAGGAACCTTATACACTAGGAATCATGGAGGACACTAGGAACCTTCTACACTAAGAATCATGGAGGACACTAGGAATCTTCTCCTCTAGGAAACATGGGGGATACTAGGAATCTTCTCCTCTAGGAAACATGGGGGAAACTAGGAATATCTGCAAGATATCATGGAGGACATTAGCAATTTTCTCCACGAGGACAAATAGGGGATACTAGGAATCTTCTCCACTAGAACACTAGGAATATCTGCCAGATATCATGGAGGACACTAGGAATCATGGGGGACACTAGGAATCTTCTCCACTAGGAATCATCGGGGACACTAGGAATCCTCTCCACTAGAAATCATGGGGGACACTAGGAATCCTCTCCACTAGGAATCATGGGGGACACTAGTTAACTTTTCCTCTAGGAATCATGGGGGACAACAGGAATCCTCTCCACTATGAATAATGGGGGACACTAGAAATCTTCTCTACTAGGAATCATGGAGGACACTAGGAATCTTCTCCACTAGGAATCATGGAGGACACTAGGAATCTTCTCCACTAGGAATCATGAGGGACACTAGGAATCTTCTCCACTAGGAATCATGAGGGACACTGGGAATCTTCTCCACTAGGAATCATGGGGGACACTAGGAATCTTCTTCACTAGGAATCACAGGGACATCAGGAATCTTCCCCACTATAAAACATGGGGGATACTAGGAATCTTATCCACGTGGAATCATGGAGTACACTAGGAATCTTCTCCACTAGGAATCAAAGGGACATCAGGAATCCTCTCCACTAGGAATCATGGGGGACACTAGGAATCCTCTCCACTAGGAATCATGGGGGACACTAGAAATCTTCTCCACTAGAAATTATGGGGGACACTAGGAATCCTCTTCACTAGGAATCATGGGGGACACTGGGAATCTTCTCCACTAGGAATCATGGGGGACACTAGGAATCCTCTCCACTAGGAATCATGGGGGACACTAGGAATCCTCCACACTAGGAATCATGGGGGACACTAGGAATCTTCTCCACTAGGAATCAAAGGGACATCAGGAATCTTCTCCACTAGAAATCATGGGGGACACTAGGAATCCTCTCCACTAGGAATCATGGGGGACACTAGGAATCCTCTCCACTAGGAATCATGGGGGACACTGGGAATCCTCTCCACTAGGAATCATGGGGGACACTAGGAATCTTCTCCACTAGGAATCATGGGGGACACTAGGAATCTTCTCCACTAGGAATCAAAGGGACATCAGGAATCTTCTCCAATAGAAATCATCGGGGACACTAGGAATCCTCTCCACTAGGAATCATGGGGGACACTAGGAATCCTCTCCACTAGGAATCATGGGGGACACTAGGAATCATGGAGGACACTAGGAACCTTCTCCACTAGGAATCATGGCGGACACTGGGAATCGTTTCCACTAGGAATCATGTAGGACACTAGGAATCTTCTCCACTAGGAATCATGGGGGACACTAGGAATCTTCTCCACTAGGAATCATGAGGGACACTGGGAATCTTCTCCACTAGGAATCATGGGGGACACTAGGAATCTTCTTCACTAGGAATCACAGGGACATCAGGAATCTTCTCCACTTTAAAACATGGGGTCATTAGAAATCTTATCCACGTGGAATCATGGGGGACACTAGGAACCTTCTCCACTAGGAATCATGGGGGACACTAGGAATCTTCTCCACTAGGAATCAAAGGGACATCAGAAATCTTCTCCACTAGAAATCATGGGGGACACTAGGAATCCTCTCCACTAGGAATCATGGGGGACACTAGGAATCCTCTCCACTAGGAATCATGGGGGACACTAGGAATCTTCTCCACTAGAAATTATTGGGGACACTAGGAATCCTCTTCACTAGGAATCATGGGGGACACTGGGAATCTTCTCCACTAGGAATTATGGGGGACACTAGGAATCCTCTCCACTAGGAATCATGGGGGACACTAGGAATCCTCCACACTAGGAATCATGGGGGACACTAGGAATCTTCTCCACTAGGAATCAAAGGGACATCAGGAATCTTCTCCACTAGAAATCATCGGGGACACTAGGAATCTTCTCCACTAAGAATCATGGG